GGCTCTTGCAGCATCGCGGGCTCGATTGGCTTGGGAAAGTACTGCTCAAAGTCCTGGGCCGACGCCGTGCCAGGCGATGGCACAAAGCCGTGCTTGCTCGTATCGTCGTGCGGCGACGACCGCCACCGGCGCGACATGTAGACACCGATCATAAAGATGACGCAGCAGAGCGCGACGACGACGGCGGCGGTGATGCCAACGATGGCGGGGACCGACATGGCGTGGCCGTCGGCGGGCGGCGGCGTGGCCAGAATCGCATTGTGGTCCGCGGTTGCGTTCATGGCCATGGAGCCGTCCGTCGCATGGACAGAAGCGAGCAGCAGCAGCCCAAGAGAGATCTGTGCACACGTCTGCATCTCTGAAAATGGAGCGCAGTGGCGCGCCTCTGGCCTCGCGCCGTCTTGTTACGCGGGTTCCAAACACCTGATCTGTTGGGTTGCCTGGATCTCTCGAGACAGGCCTTCCGGCGGCAGAGCGTAGTACGTTGGCTAAACGCACCCATATTTTTTGGCACCATTATTATTGATTGTCAACCCATGTCGTTTTGTACGGTGTTGGTCGATCGCTACGTGCGTGGTGTCTACTAGCTCCATGAAAGGTGTCCAAGAGTAGCTAGGATGTCTGTGACGACAGCGTCAAGGACAGATTGCCTTGCCGCAGCGTCAACATGCGTTGATACTCGAGTGCACTGGGTAGGTTTGCATTGAAGCCTGCAGCTGTCAGTGGACGCTCTAGACACTGCAGAATTGGTAGTGGTGTCGCCTATTCGACACAGACATGCTGCCATGCTCTTGTTGTTTGCCTGCGAAAGTGGTGGGTGTGCATGGATGGCCAGAAGGCTTCAAGTGGAGTGTTTCCAGCCTTTCAACTCGTCCTCCAGCACTGCCAAGGGAATGCGTTCACAACGAGGTAGGCTTTCTCTGTAGTCCATGTGGCAAGCAAGTCTCATGGGGACTGCTCTCTCGCCGCCGATCCAGTTGCGTTGAAATAGAAAGTCGTATTTCCTGTCAATGCGGCCGTTCCTAGTCGCATGGGACACGCCAAAGCGTCGGGGATCGACGACAGCCTTTACGCGCGCCTGACGTGACGCGTCGACCGTCGCCTGCGGTGGGCACATCGAGTCGGAGCGTCCTTTGACCTCTCGAGGCGTGGCACCTACCTTCGGTTGCTGAACGCTAGTACGCTTCGTGTCGCAGCCACCGATCATTCCGCTTGCATTTACAGTGTACCTTGGATACATTACGCAGCGTATATAAACATCAAGGACTACCTAGCAGTATCTTGCAGAAGGTGTTTTGGCCGAGAAATAGTGAGCAGGATCCAGCTCGACCGAAGGCGGTGCGAACGATCGGCGAAAGCAAGTGCCGTCGACAATCACAGACGCTCGCATGGAGTGGATACCAGCTCGGGCACGGTGGCGGTTCTGCATTGCGAAGTGCGGCACACTGTTCTCCTCGCCAGTCTCTCCATCCATTGGTACCTCACTCCATCGCGCCGGCTTGGATTTCAGACGCACGGGCGAATCAGCGAGCGTCTCGACTTCAATTTGGGCCAATCCGCGTCGGCAATTCCCGAACCAAGCCCGACCAGCCTTCTTCCGACCAGGAATGCGGTGACAGAACCAGGCACCAAGGTACTCGCACCCTCGAATGGTACAAGTGCAGTAGTCCGACGGCAATTGGTTGATCCTTCAACACTTTGCGAAGCCGACAGGCGACGAGCAGTGCAGTGGCAGCTTGCAGTGGCACCAACCCTAGTCGCTGACGTTGCCACGTCCACCGCAGACAAGACAAGCACCAGTCCAAGCGTCGACACCCGGACGGTCCATGCAACAAACATGCGCGCACGTGCGACGCTATGCACAATCCTCGAGCCCGACGCGTATGACGCGATGGCGTCACTATATTAGTGGACGCGGCAGACGAGAGAGCTGTCTGAATGCACTGGTTGCAACATACATTATTACGACGAGTCAAGATTTCATGCTAGACCCTACAACTACTTTGAAAGTGACTACAACTCCATTTCAATCATGTCCTCGCTCGACTCGCTGCCGGCATGCAGCGAGGACATGCGGAAGAGCGAGCCGGAGCTCGGATAAATGTCCGAGCACTCGGAGATGGCGTGGCTGCTCGGGCCGCGCGACGAGTCAAAGCTGCTCAAGTGGCTCTCCGAATACGTCCCGGGGCCCACAGACGAACTTGCGATCGACGACCCGCCAAACTGAACGGGCACGTTGGGCGACTGGTTGCTCGTGATCGTATCACGGCCCAAGAGCACGTCCCAGAGCGCTTGGTTGCTGCGCATCGGGGATGACGTCAGCGCGTGCACTGGCGTCTGGTTGGACGACGGCGCGCGCCTCGTCGTAAAGGGCGCGTTGCTGCCAAGAAACGTCGTGTTGTGCATCGAACTGTTGTGGGTCCGATGCATGCTGGGCGAGACGCCACCGCCGTACGGCTCGCCATCCGGTGCTTTGAACGCCGCCGACGACGCGCGTTCGTGATTGGACCGGCGGTAGATGACGACGGCGACGAGGATCCCGACGACCGCGACGCCGCCCGTGAGCCCCAGAATGAGCGGCAGCGATGAGGCACTCTCCGGTGCCTCGGCCGACGTCTTGGACAATGGCGTCACGGTCGTCGACGGGATACTCGCCTCTTCTTTGGTCGGAGCGACACTGGCTGGAACATCGGGCAGCGGTGTTGCCGTGGGCGGCGGTGTCGTCGTTAGCGACGCCTCTGTCGTTGGCGACGACGTGGTTGTGGGCACAACATCCTCGGTCATTGGCTCGGGTGTCGGCGCTTCTGTGACCGGCGCTTCCGTTGGCGCTTCCGTTGGCGCCTTGGTTGGCGCGGGTGTTCGCGGTGGCCGTGT